TATATATATATATGTGTATATATATATATATATATATATATATATATATATATATATATATATATTTATTTGTATGTATATATATTTGTATGTATTTGTATATATATGTGTATATATTTGTATATATATGTATATATATGTATATATATTTGTATATATATGTATATATATTTGTGTATATATATATGTGTGTGTATATTTGTGTATATATATATATATTTGTATATATATATATATTTGTGTATATGTATATGTATATGTATATATATTACTGTTAAACCACAACTGTGTTCAATAAACACATTCAGGTTGTAGTTCTTCTTTTTGGCTAATTATATTTATATTTATATTTAATTTTTTTTATATTTATTTATGACGTCATTGCAGGTTTGAACTAAGACACAAGGAAATGTGATGTTTTTTCAGTTTACTGAATACATTTTGGGTTTTTAGACAAAAACAAGACCTCTGATGACGTCACCTTTGACTCTGAACTATTTTTTTAGGCTGAAATGTTCGTTTATGAACCGGAATGATCAACAAACAGCCTGATAATGAAAATAATAACTGCTGGTCAGCAGCGAGGTGTGTTTAGTGGTGACCTTCATCATCGATTAGTCTTCCTGATGAACTGATTGGTGGCTTTGTTCAGGTGTGGCTGGCAGCGCTGAGGGAGGCGGAGCTTCAGGACTCCAACGAGCAGCACTTCATCTGTGAGGACCACTTCCTGCCGGAGGACCTCACCGCCAACGGGGTCACCGGGGGAGCCATTCCCATCATGCCCCCTGACCTGGACCCTGGGGGGCCCTGGGGGGCCGAGTCCTCCGAGGAAGAGGAGGAGTGGGTCATCGGAGACTGTGAAGAGGAGGAGGAGGAGGAGGAAAGTGGAGATGATGCTCCTCCTCCACCAGATCAACCACAGCAGGTCTGGAGACTCTTTTTCTGCCATAAAATATAGGTTACATTTTATTTCCAATCTTGAAATCTGTTTCTGATTTCCAGAATCCAGGTGGAGGTCTGGAGAATCCAAGTCTGGAGAACCCTCTGGAGGCCGAGAGGACCAGGAAACAATGGAACCAGTCTCAGGGATACAGCAGAAGGGGTGAGTGCTGTTGTTTAGTTTCACATAACTCCGTGGAATGTGAACACACAGAAGTGAAACGCATGTTTCTAAATTCAGCGTTACTTCCTCTTCCTGATGAGGTCGTTATAGCTGATGTCTATCCACAATAAATGTCCATGAAGACACTTAGGAATCAGAGAAAGAAGACGTTGCAGAACTCCCCTAAGAGTTTCCTTCAGCATCTAATACATTACAAATGTTCAGAAACTTTATCTTTGTCTATGAAACGCTTCATCCAGAAAATGGTGAAAGTGAAGCGTCACAAAGACCTGAAACCAGCTGATTGTTTTGCTCGACAGTCCAAAGAAGAATGAACCAGCCGATCTGAATCGTAACCTGTTGCTACAGAAGAACTTCCTGTTCTTAAAACATGGAGGTGTTTATATATCTTCAGGTGCAGGCGGGTCTCTGGGGCTGCTGACTCTGCGTTTCCTGGAGCTGCTGCTGGCAGCTCCGGACGGCGCTCTGGACCTCAGGGACGTCGCCGAGATCCTGCAGACCAGCAAATGGCGAGTCTACGACATCACGCACGTCCTTAACGGGTTCGACTTCATCCAGAAGGAGTCCACCAACTGGGTCAAGTGGATGTGAGTGTAAAGGAGACGCCGTCCTGTTTTCCACGTCTTAAAATCAGCTCTCAGCTGAACTAAATGTACAGAATAAGATGACTCAAGCATAGAAATACAGGAAGAATCTCCTTAACAAGACATTAAAGCTCTCCGTCTGTTCTCAGAGGAAAGATTCCGATCTCCTGCCTTCTGAGGAGGAACCAGCAGACGTTCCAGAGAGAGCTTGAGAACCTGAAGCAGGTGGAGGACCAGCTGGACGGCCTCATCAAGATCTGCTCCCAGCAGCTGTTTGACCTGACGGATGACGTGGAGAACGCTGCATATGCTTTACTGGCAGAGACACGTAGAGACAGGTAGACGTAGAAGCACATAGACGTAGAAGCACATAGACGTATAGACGCGTTGACGTAGAAACGCGTTGACATACAGACAGGTAGAAACGCGTTGACGTACGTAGAAACAAGGAAGTATTTTCTTTAACGGCGCTTCACGTCAGCCTACGTGACCCCCGAGGACATCAGACGGCTCAGATCCGTCCAGCAGCAGACCGTCATCATCATCAAAGCTCCAGAGGAAACCAAGCTGGAGGTTCCTGCTCCACAAGAGGTAGAGAGAGACAGACAGACTTAGAGGTAGAGAGAGACTGAGAGGTAGAGAGAGAC